ATTAAAAAACAGTAATACTGTGTTGAACAAAATTTGGCTGTCACATATGAAAGAAACATGTTTAGTCAAATCACTTTTTTCACTTTAAAAACATACTTTAATCTAACTCAAAAAATAATGGTTAAACATCGTCGAGACACTCTGTAACAAAAAAAATAAATAAATAAATTACACTCCATAAACTATTATCCTTTTTTCGATGTGTCCCCTCAAATACCCGGTTTATCACATTACACCTTCAACTATGTAATTAGTTTTACATTGCTCTAAGTATTTACATTGCTCTAAGTATTGACATACGTTAATATTTAATAGAAAATTATTTCATTTTACCCCAAATTATGTAACTTTTTTCACTTAACTCCAACATGTCATCGATTTTGATAAAAAAAAAAAAAATAACAAATGTTTTGTGACTGGAGGAACATGAAATTAATCACATAGTTGATAGAAGAATGTGAATAGTTGATAGAAGAATGTGAAAATTTTGATAGTTGAAAAGACAAAGTGAAAAAATGATAAATCAAGAAAATAAATTTTTTTACGCACCGCCAATTAAAAATTGAAGGTAAGATACCGAAAAATAAATTTTAGTACCGACTGCTGCCTGTTAAGAAGGATTTTGGTAAGAGGGATTTGATGATCTTGTAAGTATACAACTAAAATGTCATCTTGTAGTACAGAACCAGGATTTGATGTTGTAAATGTTTTCACTAAGCTAACAAGTGGTTTTGCTGTCTACACACAGGCATTTTACCTAGCAGGTGGACTACAAAGGAAAGAGCAACACGGCGAGCAGGCTAGGCAGTCGTTCCAGAACGTTTTCCGCGGCTTTGACGCAGAATTGTTGGCCGAGGCCCTTTACGTTCCTTCAGACATTGTAAGGAAGATGCAACAAGAAGATGATCGAGGACTCATTGTTAATGTCCGAGAGGGATTGAGAGTGATTAGACCTGATGAACAAGGAGAAGGAGAACGAGGGCGCGGGCCAGGAGAGTTTGCAAATGGGTTTGAAGAAACTTTCTGCACCATGAAGGTCCGCACAAACATTGAAAACCGAAGAGAAGCTGATATTTACTCGAGGCAAGCTGGAAGATTAAACATTGCCAATGAGCACAAACTTCCAATCCTTCGATCCTTGGACATTAGCGCAGAGAGAGGAAACCTCTTCCCGGTAATCTTTCTCTCCTGCTAATAGCTGAAGCTGATTAATGGGTATTTCTCTAAAAAACAAAATGTCCACCATCTGTTTGTTAAAATGTTCACCAAGTCCTTCAATGGTTTTGTTGCAGAATGCATTGTTCACGCCACACTGGAATATCAACGCCCACACTGTCATTTACGTGATCAGAGGCGATGCCCAAGTGCAAGTCGTCGGAGCAAATGGCCAAACTGTGTTGAATAATAGGGTGAATGAAGGCGAACTGTTTGTGATACCACAGTACTTTGCATCGACAATTGAGGCCGGAAAGAATGGCTTCGAGTGGGTGTCTATCAAGACAACCAGCTCACCGATGAAGAGCCCTCTTGCCGGTTACACTTCAGTTTTCAGGGCCATGCCACTTGACGTCATTACGAATTCGTATCAAGTCTCTCCAAGTGAAGCTCAGAATCTGAAGCTGAACAGGGGTGGCCAAACCTACCTGCTATCTCCGGGGAGAAGATCTCAGTAAATTGGGTCTGCTATATATATATATATATAGATGATATGCCCCCCTACTACAACTACCAAACCCAAGTTTTTGTATGCTTTGTGAGGAGAATAACTTGTATGAGTGGGACTCCTTATCATCAATAAAATTCGGCCTCTGCTTTTTCGATGTCTCAGCTCTTATGGGTTTCCTTAGTTTACTCAGAACCCCTCTTCTTCTTTTTTTTCAACCAATCGGAGTTTCTAGCTCAATTTAATCTTCTTCTTGTTCCAATTAAAAAATAAATCATTCACGTTAACANCAGAACCCCTCTTCTTCTTTTTTTTCAACCAATCGGAGCTTCTAGCTCAATTTAATCTTCTTCTTGTTCCAATCAAAAAATAAATCATTCACGTTAACATTAAGATATTCGCATTAAAACTAGTGTATTCATAGAATATAAATTATCATGACTTAAATTCAAGAGGTCGCCAAAATTTAAACTTAAAATGTTTAAGTGTATAACTTTTTTCTGTTATCCCTTGAACTACCCTTGAGTTTTTGGATCACCTCTTTAAATCTATCTTCAAAAAATAAAAAAAGAAACCTCTTGTTTTGTTTTTTGGTTATATGAGAGTGCAAGGGCAACCAACGAATCCCATCACTTCGTGACCATAACCACCCTTAACACCTCTGGAGAAGCCCTCCAGAGGGCCTAACAAGAAAACCCACATGCACTTCCTTAAAGAATCATAATCATCAGTCAGACCCTGGTAAAAATAACTCGACAGTCTACTCCTCATGTTCGGACTCCCCATTAAACACAACTAGACCACACAACGTTGTGCAAACGTCTTTGATGTGTGTGAGCGCGTGTGAAACAGGAAAACAGTCCCGATGAAAATTTATATAAATTTAGATGTAATTCAGAGGCTTAATGGGAATTTAAATAGTTGTTCCAAAAGTGATTACAACTGGAGAATAAAAAATAAACTTCAGTTAAATGTTAAAATTTACAACTAATATATGTATTAAATTATGTCAAGATTAGGTATTGTATAGCATTCCTCATCATTTTCAGAATCATCTGCCACTGCTGCACCAAACAAAAAACGCCCAAAATGGATATCCATCTTCAGGTTTTGCAACGTCGGGTACTATTAGGATGTACATGGGCCGAGTTAACAATGGGTCCGTTATTTAGTCCAAAAAAAAAAAACGCCTAATAGTTGACCCACCTGAGACCAAGTCTAATATCTTTAAAAATAGGGCTTGAATTTACGAACAACCTATTATCCAGTCCGAAACCCGACTCAATAACCCGTCAAAACTCAACCTAAGAACCCACCCAAATAATTATTTAAATACTATAAATAATGTATTATTTTCTTTTTTATGTATTAAGCATACACGTTTTATAAATTAGAATAATACAAATAATAGATAAATGAGTAAGTATCAACCTAACTGAAATACACTCAAATCTATTGGATGTAATTCATCCACTAATCAAAAATAAAATAATTAATTATTTTGTTTTATCCATTTTGACTATACTTTTANCACTCAATTCTATTGGATGTAATTCATCCACTAATCAAAAATAAAATTATTCATTATTTTGATTTTATCCATTTTGACTATACTTTTGATTCAAAAATATAATTCAACAAATATTAAATTATAAAAAATATTTATTATTTTTAAATAAAATTGTATATAAAAAAACCCTTTAAATAGGCCCACCCAACAAACATGTTTAATAGATTCGCGGGTTGAACTATGAGTAACCAATCCCTGCCCAAAGCCCGACTCAACCCGTCCAATAACCCACTTAGATAAAAACTTGGGTCTATACTACCTAAGTCCAGTCCGAAAAAAATTTCACGGGCTAACCCGGCCCATAGACACCCGTAGATACTACATAAAAACGAGTACTAAAATGCCAATCACATACACAGGTTGAATCACTCCCCTCCAAACGCCCAAGGACCTGTCATTCTTCAGACTTCTCTCTTTGTTGAGCTTCGGCCTTCAGGAACACATTGTAATTGCGCTTGATGGCACCACATCAACAAACAGCTATCAAAAAAGGACCATGGTCAAGCAAAGACGGGTATGAATAAATTGAATCAATTGTGCAACAGATGATCTAAATTCTCATTCATTTGCAAAGGAAGATTTAGGTTCAATTCATTCTCCGACTCAACAACATAACGGTGAACAGCAATAATGACAAGATGCCGCTGATGGGGAAATGCACAATTTATATGAGGGCCTGCACGCCAAATAGTTGCATTTCCCTAAGCTTCCATATTGCGTGTGGAACACCTTCTCCAAGTTCTTCTCTATCCACTTGTTGCATAGCCCAAGCATAGTACACAGTGTGGATGGTATCCTGATTAAGCAACAAAGTTAAGCAAGCAGAAGTTGGTAGATTTTTGTTGAACCAAATGGCTCGGCAAAAATGTAATACACATGTTCATATGCAACAAGAAGACTACATATATTTAACCCTCTCCATAACCCACAGTAAAGAGAAACTCATGCTGGGCTGCCTTATCCTACTCAATGTAATAATGATGGCGGTGAACATGATAGCATTGTTTCCATCTGTGGCAATTTGTTTTTCTGCAATCGATGACAAAGAATAGACATTGCTATCATTTTAAGCAGGCTGAACCACTCCTACCTACAATTGCATGGGATCACAGGCTTCTAGAGCTACTCGATTAGCTATGGCACCCGGTGCATTTCCGGGTGCATTTCCTTACGGGTATCCTAAAGCTCCTCCACCAAACTGTAAGTGATTCAACCTCACAAGATTACATCCACTATTTTTTTATCATCATCCTCATGTCAACANCTAAAGCTCCTCCACCAAACTTTAAGTGATTCAACCTCACAAGATTACATCCACTATTTTTTTATCATCATCCTCATGCCATCGCTGCTGCTTTCGACATAAATGAAAATTTATCATTTTTCCTAGTTATATATATAACTAAAAAAGGAAATTAGATGTTTTTACTGTCAATTGAACTTTCGAACACTAATTAGATTGTACACTAACACCCATCCGCCTTTATCTGCATTCCTCTTTTGTGAAACAACACCAGCATCCTTTCTGGTTTAGATTTGTTTGTTTCATGAGGCCCCCTTTTCCTAGTTTACAGTTACGGTCAACACCAAACTGTTTAACATTTCCCATAAATACTGAATTTATCTCCAACGAACCCAACAATCAAGCAGCAACCCACCACCGACGAACCCAACTATCAGCCAGCAACCCACCACCAACAACCCCTACCTTTGACACCCAATCCCTATCTGGTCTGGCTATTAGGATCCTCATCCACACAACCCAAACTCGCATGTGCTGTCTTATTTGCCACCTCCAATGAAGGGAGAAATGGGTGTGACAAAAGGATGTGGAGAGGAGTTGGTTAACGGTAGAGTGTTTGAAGACAGAGAGAAGGAAATTGGAGGGGCGAGATAGATTTTCTTGGGGGTGATTAAGGTGGGGCCTTTGATCAACGTAACGTCTATCGCTGCGAAAGGAATGGCAGGGACAGACACACACATAATAGGCTGGCAATGGTTCTTCTCGTGTCAAAATTTGCTCAACGCATGCCTGATCCATTTATAAGTGTGTGAATCTAGCATTGTGTCAAGTTTTAAGCTATGATTATCAGGTTCTATCATGTTTCGGACTATTGTCAACGTGTTTATTTGACGAGTCCAATGACGCCACCGGTCTACTACCCAAGCCCGCTAATAAGACTAAATCCAAACACACTAATTCCAAATCGATTTTGTGTTTATAAATCACATCTAGAATTTTCAGGCCTGGATTCAAGGGTAGAAATAACAACAGCCAACTAGGGGTAGCAGGGTAATCTGCCGATGTTTAATTTGGGAATAAACAAGGTATTTCCATGTCACAGTGAATTGTAATTACAAAATAAACATATAACAAATATACATATACAGCTAGATTTCAAAACATGAAGAATACCATAAAACTAGAGCCAACAAAAGCAACCATCAAGTAATCAAAACTCATGAATTTGCCTAAAACATTATTTCAAAGAAAGATAAGAGACCTAATATCTTGAATAAGATTACAAATCCTAGAGTGAAAATACTACTTGCTATCAATCATTTTTAAAAGATGTTTTCCACGTAATTCACTACAACTAACAGTGATTGAAGACATAGTATTATAGGACCACAATAGTTTGATTCAAAGTTCCAATTTACAAAATAAACCCATCCAATTCATATACACACAATGACAAATCATGCTGCAAGTATAACCAATCTGTTGGAACACACTGACCAGATAAAACAGAAAGATATGAATTTACAGCTCACACTAGCGTAATCTAAGGTTTAGTTGTATTTTCTTATTTGCAGGTATTCATATGTTCCTTATAAGCATAACTCTTTTGCATTGTTCTCATAACGTCTCTCTTATTTATACATCTTACTTTAGACTCTGTATCCTTGCCTTCCATCATGCAAAGAGGTAAATATTTAACTTTGAATCTTCACATAGTACAACTCTCAACAAAATACTAGAACTTAAAAACAAAAGCAAATGGCAAGAGTTAAACCAAATGCCAATTTTACAGAATTCGATGGAAGAATATAAGCTTACATTATCAGGTATCTTTATCTGTAGACAGATGACAAATTACAAATAATACCTAGTTTCACATATCATCATTTACTTAAAGTGTGTTGACAAGAACATAATTTTATATTCCACTAACTTTGACAGAAGATTCCAAAAGTCGTGGTTTTAATAAGAATCTAAATCAGATTGTAATCCTAATATTTTGGAGGCCCAATAATACTTCTCAATAAAGTCGCAATAGAGACGTGACCAGCAATTCAAGATGTGAAATGAAATAGATCATTTTCCTTCAGTGAATATATTTGGCATGGCTTCTTTTGTTTTCATAAATGGGTACAAGTTCTGCTATTCTGAGTACTTTTACCAGTTTGGATTTCTTTTGTTTCAGTTGTCATTTGATAGCCAAAAGACAACAATTTACTTGGACATTTTGCAAAGATTAATGAACATATTTACTTACCAAAAAAAAAAAAAAGAATATATTTGGCATGAATTGGACATAGAGATGACCAACACTAGTTGCTAATGAAAAGAAACATAGCTTCAGAATCCATGCCAGCTATTTGCCACATATATATCTGGGCAGTTCATAGTTCCACAACAATAAAATAGGTTTAGGATTTACCTTGCTCCCCTCTTTTATTGAGCCAAGTCTATCACGTACACAATATACCTGCTGCGTCTGGAACTGTAAGCATTTCCACCAAAAGAGCCATTAGTACAATTTTTTGCTTTCAAAATCACAAAAAGGAAGACAATTTTAACAATTGAAAGTTGAAGAGGTGCCTACCCCCACAATGATTATGGGAGAGTCCCCCATCATTTTGGTCTCTCTCAATTCGACGTCAGATATGTGTAGAATCTGCATTAAGGAGTAGAATAAGCCACATCCCATAATGTTTCTCAAAACATTCGACTTCCAATATCAGTTTTACAATTGGGCTCAAGTCCTCCATTAAGATGACCTAAAACTAGTCCAAGACCTGATTTATCAGAAGCTTCACACAAAGCATAAGGTCTTGTAGTTGAATTTTTCAGTGAATAAACGAAACCACTCGAACACAAAAAGGCCAGCAATTCTGTACTTAAGTCCGACACTGGTGAGCACTTGCTACTTTATTTCTTCCCAAAAAAAAATGAGCATGGATGTCAGAAAAATAAGCAACAGAAGATGTTATAATCCTAAATGTCTTGATTTAATCAGTCACAGACTCACCAAAAAAGGATCAGATGGGAAGATGCCACGCAATATAGGGTAATGATAACTTCCTCAGGCAATTTTCAAACCAAAAACCCCTTGATCCCCGTTTTCAAAATACCCAATGGCACACATGTGCATCAGCTATGCCAACAGCATAAGATGTTAATACCCTTTTTTATATTAATTCCATATGATATCAAATACAAAGACTGTTTATCTAGCACGCCTCAAGTAGGATAGGAACATAAATGCAAAAGCACATGGTAGAAAGAGAGAGGGAAGGAAAGACAGAGAGAGATTATTACAGAGTTAGCCATCAAATCTCATAGTTAGTAGCAGGTGATCACGTGGGTGTGCAGCATAGTGACAAATCAGGTTTCATGAATTATTCGGCATTGCCAAAACTGGATAATTTGAGCAATATTTGGAGATGTTTAGACAATCATCAGCAATATCTAGGTGTGAAATTCGAAACTGATCCTCAAATTTGTGAATATTCTAGTAGATGCACATAATTTCATAAGAATTCACATTTTACAATAGCAGATATGGATTACTCATTTAACCAGCAATCTCTTATAAAATAACAAATGTAATCAAAAAAATAGAAACATGGGTATTAAATACCCATATGAACATATAATTCTATACAAAAAAATTCGAAATAGAAAAGCTGTCAATGTTAAGTAATGTCACCTTCGAATTATTTCAAATAAAATAAATTCAGGAATCTTAATTTGTATGTTATAATTCAAGATCTGGATAAATGTAAGGATTCCTCAGAAAATTGGAGAATTTTGTTCCTGTTGACGGTCCTCACTCTTGCACACATCAAGTGTGACAGATATTGAGAGATTCATAACTGGCAATCAAGCAATTATACATATGTATTCAAATGGGACAAAGAAGACAATGTGACGGAAGTCTGTTGATAGTTATTAAAACACCAAGCTAGCAAGACTAGACCGCAACACTAACCTAGGTGCCTGAGGGCTCCAGGCAATGCACGTTATAAAAATAATGTCATGCTTGATGATTCAACTCCTTCCGATCTTTCTCACCTCATATCTTTGTTGGAATGTTACTTACACAGCAAAATATGATACCGGAATTATTGACGTCATTTTATCAAACAATAAATAACTATTTAAATACAGAGCACTAACAGAGTAATTATTTAAATGTTCAAACCTAGAAAATAAAGGGAAAAAAAGCAAGCCAAATATAAGGACTTCTGTTGTCGTACCTTGTTATCAAAAAAGATACCCTGGCTTTCATATGCCTTATGCTCTGCCTTACATCTCTCTGCCACTTCTGAACTACAATACTTATTCAAGACTTCAATATCTCCCTATAAAGAATGGAACACAGTGACACACCCATTATTTCATTCCGATAAAAATTTCACAGCCAATATATTGATAACTATTTTAAGAGATATGAAAAGATATTTAAGAAAGGCAAAAGATAAGAGTGAAAAAGGAACAGGGTGAGGTTGAGCTTTTCTTTTTCTTCTGTTGAGAGAGGGAGAAAGAAGGTAAGGAAGCCTTCTGGGCTGTCACATGTATACGTACCTTTATGTATGCAGTAAGGACTGGTCTAACCACTTCTTGGACCTCAGCAACAAATTCTGGTAAAGAGAAAGATCTAGCACAATGCATATTACATATTACATGAATCAGATAACAGGTTATTGGAATACACAAAATGGAAAAAAGGTAAAAATGCAACAGGATGCATCATACGGATCTCGCTGACGTATTTCCTTGAATGACATTGCAGCAGCCGTTTCTCCAAATACACTTTCATTGATACTGTCACATAGAAGGTGGCCATAATACTACTCTCAGAATCATATTAACAAACTGAAGTCAATCATACGTAAAACATATGCATGGTAACATACTCCTGAATTTTGTGTACAACAGGGTGATCACTAGTGTCCCACATCTCCTGCATGTCTTCCTTGATCTGCCAATTCCATCCCACACAGCATTTAGAATGATTAGCCTCGAAATATGCATAATTATTGTCACTATTGTTTAGTTAATAACATTATTTTGGGAGTTAAATGTGCTTGAATTCTGAAGTTCTAGATTTTGTTTCAAATTTGTAGTGTTTGACTTGCTTATAGGTAAAGGAGACCAAAATAACCAAATGGGAAGCAAACATGCAAAGTAGGATGGAGCTTGGAGTATTTGGAGTAAGAATAGAGCCATTCCAGAATGTTTGGTGCGTCCTGACGCGGTTTAGGACCGTCTGAACAAGAGAAAGAAAAAGAAGAAAACCTAAGAGTTTGGTGTGTTTGGACGGAAGTTTCACACGTCTGGACACGACTGCCAAAGAATTACTGATGATTCACTTGTGTCCATACGCCCATTCCATGGGTCCAAACAAGATCCTTCTTTTGCTTGTTGACTGCTCTTTGACTTGTAATAGGTTTAGACTACCTTTATAACCTATAAATACCTAGTTATACCCTAAATTGGGTTGTTCCCCAATCACTAGCTTTTTCTTCTAGTTTTCTTGTAATCTTGTTTATGAATTGCTAAATTTCCAACTAAAGTGATGGGTGATTCTTGCAATAAAATACAGTATGTGTTTTTTATCCAAGGTTCTTTACTGCATGATTATTTTTATTAATTGATTCTTATGGTTTTATTAAAAAAATTTATCTCTAAAATATATTGATTTGTTATCCAACGTACATCGAATGCTTTAGATTCACTGCGAGTCAAATAACTGATTTTGTATGTCTGAATCAATCACTTGAGATTTTTATTGTTTGTCTTAAAAATAAGTTTTAATTGTTGAAAAGCTTAATTCATCATTGACTCCGAGAAAAGTGAATGTTTGGGATCTACAATTAAATACTTGTTTTTATTCAGATAATTTATCTATTATACCTTTTATTTTCAATATATTCACCACTGAATCTTTTGATTAAAGTCTTCCTTTGCTGATTTTTAATTGAGTTTGAAAACCGGATTAGAATAAATATTATGTGTAATTGAAAGAGGATCCGTTCTGCTTTAGTATTTCTCAATTGTTATTTTCAACCAAAATCTACTGTTTTCTCAAACAACTTATTTCTTTAATAATTTTCAAAGAAAANTCAACCAAAATCTACTGTTTTCTCAAACAACTTATTTCTTTAATAGTTTTCAAAGAAATTTTTCTTTTATTTTGTTATTGTGCTCCAAGTTTTCTCCAATTTCCTGTGATACGACCTCGGACTCCCAAGAATATAACCTGCACTTGGGTTAACATACTTAAAATTGTAGCATAGATCACAAACTTCTAGACGGGCAAACGAAAACAGTAACCAAATCATCCATCATATAAAAACAAAAAATGCAATGCAGACAACTTATGCACACAAAAAATGTTACTTCTTGAGAAGATCACAATGCACGTGTTGAGTGTAATAAGTTGTGGTATTGGTCGTAGAACATGAAAACAGAAAGTAGGATGGGAAGTAACAAGAACAACACAAACGAGTGATATTAAAAAAAAACCTCAGGGGGACATTCAACCAGTACTACACTGTTTTTGCCCCCTTTCAACACCTAGCTCTTCCACAATCACAATATCCATAATATAAAAATAGTGGCACAAGCAACCAAGAATAACTCACTAAACAAATAAAATTAGGAATGATTGATAATGAAAACAAGAAAACTAAGCAATCAACTTAGAAATATATCATGAATATTCTGGATCACACATCAGCAATCCAGTTTGCATAACATTGAACACACTTCCACTAAGTCGGTACCCACACAGTCACTCCTGTAAAATTTCAAACCATGCCAAAGTTTTTTTCCGATTCATGCCAAGTTCAAGAGAGCTAAAATATGAGTGAACGAGGGAATTGCTGCCTGGTGAGCTTATAGTGGTTCCACCCTATGCTACATATTCCAGTGGTCCTGCCCTAATTGCAAAGAAATATTAATATAAATATTTTGTTGTTGCAATGACTTTATAAACAAAACTCATTACCAATGGGCTTTTGGTCCAATGGTATTCCTTGATTTGTGAAGGCGGTCAAGGGTTCAAGTTCCCCTTCCCCTTCCCAAAAAAAATAAATAAATAAATAAACAAAACTCATTATCAAATTGACAAGTGATAAAATCCATATATAATATCCATACTTGGTACTTTAAAATGTTTTTGAACGAACTAAATATCAGCTAACATTAAACTTCTCTCAACTCAATCCTTTGCTAGCATATACAACTGAGAATTGCACCTGCCATCTGAAGCCAAGTGCCATGTTAAAGTGCACAGGCTGGTATGAATGAGGAAAACTGGGACATATATTTCATCATTTTGAATACGGCATACCTCCCGGCTCTTTGTCACAACAGGTTCACTTAAGCCACTGACACGCTTGAATATAGGATGGCCTTGCGTCTGGGAGAAAAGGACAAGCTGTTTCAATTGAAATACATAAAGGAAAAACAATAATAACTTTTCTTATGAATCCAGAGAGCCCCCACGAGTTATTACCGTACCTTTTCTTTGAATGCCTCCCAAGTTTTACTCCATCGAGACTGCTTAGAGGGTAGGACGACGACATCAGTTCTTGAACTCCTTTCACCTTGAGATGAGGGGCCTGTGGAAGAAGCTGTATATTCAAGGTGCTTTCTCTTATGTGGGTTACCGCTCAACTCATCCTTTACAATGTGGTAACCCTTCTTTGCTACGTCAATAGGCTTTGCTTCCTTTAATTTCTGGAAGGCCAGTGAAACCTTAGGAGAAATGGAAGAAACGCTGGACTTGAGTTTGCTAAATACTGTTTCTGTAGTATCAGTAGGCCCTGATTGCTGCTGCTTTTCTTCTCCAAATGCGGACTTGCTTCCATCTTTCATCTTAAAACCATAATTAGCCGAATCACCAGCTGACCCTGAAGGCTCTTGCTTCCCCATCCCAAAACTTCCTTTGACCTAACCATGAACCATTTACCCAAAATTAATTATCACATTCTTCTTGATTCTTCACTAGAAGCACTACATTCTGAATCACCTAATAATATGAATAGTAGCACACACCTCTTCTGTGGCAGCTGAAATTTTTTCCTCCACATTGACATAAACCTACCAGAGAACATAATTATCAAACAAAATAGGATAAACCTGACAAAATAAATTTTAACTACACTTACTCTTACCGACCAACCAAGGGCAACTAGATTACTAGAGAGAAGCAGTTGTCATAACAACTTGCCTCAAAGTAAGCAATACAACTGCCAAAACATCTTCACTACAGGAAGTACAAGAAACCCAACTCAGAAACGACACAAAATGAGAAAAACCAATGGGGAAGGAGAAAGGAAAAGAAATATTGTTCTTTTGCCACCACTTAAGCAAAAATGTTTTTCTAATACCTACCAATTCTCATCCTTTAGTTCAATATTTTAGAAGCTACTTGGAGAGCTATGAAAAATAACTTCCCATCTGACCTTCTTTGCCGTGGCTTCAGCCTCTGTCCACACACCACCCACATGCTTGTACAGCTGCTCAGTTGTTTGCTTCGTTCTGCATTCGCCAGTTCACCATCTCAGTGCCTCCATTGTTGTCTGCCCAGCCTTGACATACAACAGTATGTCTCAGCCTATAAACCAATCAAAGCAATAAATAAAGAATATATGAATTCAAGTGTCTTCATGAAGTTACCTAACTTTCAAGTCTTCTTTCACCCCTTTCAGCTCTTCCGTTTTCTCCTTCAGTTCCTTGACTGACTGCTGGAATTCCTGATTTCTGAAATCAAGAGAATTGAGATATTAAGTAGAAGACATGTCCCAGGGACTAGAGGATGTATAGATATCGTAAAGCGTAAAATCAATCATCTTGAATTTAAAAACAAAAGAATTCAACTTTCTAAACTTTAAAACAATAAAGAACCCATTCTCTCTCTCAAAACTGACATTAACAGCGGAATACCTGNATATATATATATATATAGCAAAATCTACTTAATCAAGGTGGTATTTTATAATTAGTTAATGATATGATGAGTAATTGAAGACGTGACAATGAACATTTTAACAGCGACGCAATGACACACTTCGTTACATTACTATTGTTCCAAATCTAAGTACAGTTCTCATTGGCCTCAGAAAACTGTTGGGCCTGAATTTCAGCAGCCTTCTCCGATACCAAAGCTTGTATGACCGCCGTCTTCACTTCCCAAGCAGAATATGGGTAGCCCTTCCTGGAGTAAGAGTTGAGCAACGCCGCCGTCGACTCCTTCACTAGCCGTACAAACACATTCTCGCCGTCATCGTTCCTCGAAGTCGCTTCCAAGAGAGTCAGATCGTATCTGTACCGTTCGTAAGCTCTCGAACCGAACACTTTCGACACCGTCGACATCTCTGGCACCATTTTCGGCCATGACTCCCTCCTGCTGCTCCAAAACCTGCCATGTAACCATTGTCAAATGGTTTGTAGGATTTCGAGTGGGCGATTGAGTTGACTCGGACGAGATCAGTGACTCGGATGAGTTTCAATCCGAGTCAACTCAATACATCAGAACACATGGTGGGTGTTCAAGATGAAGACATTTGGTGAGAGTTGAACACTCTGGACTCGTAAGTTAAGAACCCATAATCTCTCTTAATCTCCTCCGTTTTTTCAAAAATAAAAACTTACTGGGTTCAAAAGAAGAAGAGGGGGGGCCGGGGTGGAGAGAGAGAAGGATCTTACTGTGGAGTGCATCTTCCCCTGTTTCTTGTGTAGAGAAACCCAGGTCTTGGGTTATCAGCGGCTGCTTCGGTTGCTACTGCCAGGCTCGCAAGAAAGAGACCAAGGACGAGTCGACTCAGTAGTACGGAAGCCATTCCTAACTCCTTCTTCTTCTTCTTATTAGTAAAAGTGGGTGAGCTTCCAAAGGTTACATAAATGGGATCTGAGATTTTGAGATCTCTGCAGCTACTGAGCATGTTTGTTGGTTCAGTGCTAAATATATCGCTTCCTCACTCGTGCTATTTTCAAATCAAGGTCTGTTTCTCGTAACTATCGTTTTCACCTTTTCTTGGACAAATCTACCCCCGTATTTCTTTTAGTAAATTACACACATAACCTCCAAATTATGACCTTTGTATGAATTAAGTCCTTGAACTTTTTATTCTATCAATTAAATCCTTCAATTCTCTAATTGTATCAATTGAGCCTTTTTGTCCGCCTCTTTTAGAGTGTGTCACTCATATGACCATATAACATAAAAAGAAAAAAAGTCTCAATTGATATAATTAGAGAATTTAAGAACTAAATTGACACAAAAAAAAAAATTAAAAACTTAATTGATGCAAGACTCATTTTTTAAAGATCATATATATAGTTTACTACAATCATTCTTATACACTTCACTACAATCATTCTTATACACTTCACTACTTATAGTTACAAAATCTAATGGAAGGTAGAGAAAATGAGTTAATTGACACAATTAGAAAGTTCAATTGATATAAAAAAAATTAAGAATTTAATTGACACAAGAGCTTTAGTTGAAGACACAAAAATAAGAGCTAATCTTAAATTGTACCCTGAAAGATGATTTAAATCTTAGTTTGTACCTTCAAAGTTTAAAAATATCAATTTATAGTTATATGTCATGCTTGAAAGCACAAAGAAACATAAAATTCAAGCGGTTAAAAAATTAATCTCGCTTATCAAATAACAATCTTTTCCTTTCATTTATTTGATTACATCATTTAAAATTTATTTTACCCATTATTTTCTTAAAAATATAAGCAAAAGTTTTTCAAAATATGTAATTCGACAAAATTTTTTCAACATATGTATGTTATGTTATATAGATAATGTATGAATAAAAATTATGTTAAATTATAAATTAATTAAATATTAAATAATTGATCATATGATAAGATAGACGATGTGATGGAATCGAGGGAAAAAAATATGTAGGAGAAAAAATTTAATTTCTCATGTGATTTATTATATAGATATCTTAAAAGACATAAATTTATATCAATGTTTATTTGGGGTTAACTGTAGCCTATTTTGCCGTTAAAAAAGTTTGGACTAATTGTAAATTACATCTTCAAATTTAAATATTTTACATTTATGATCCAAAAGAATTTCATTCATTAATACTCGTTAAATACCTCTCAATTTTGTTGTATCATGACATTTTCAAGTCGTGTCATTTTGTGTCATGTTGTATTTTTTGTGTGGTGTTCGAGTTAATAAAAAATTATTTTTCGCACAAAATATTTTTTTGTCGACTTAATTGTATTGTGTTGTATATTTCACATTTATGACAATTCATATAATATAATATAAAATATTTAGAGTCGTTTGGTTACGTTTTTGTTTTCGCGTTTTCAAAAAAATAAAAAACAAAGATAATTTTTATTTTGTTTTGTGGTAAACATTGAAAACAAAAAATATGTTTGAAAGTCATTTTGTGTGTTATCAAATTATGAAAATAAAAATAAAAAGCATATTTGATAACCACTTCAATACATTACTTCAATCACAAATGATAATTTAATCCTACTCTCAATTCAGTCTCAAATGACAATTCAATTTTTTTTTTCAATAAAGAATTTAATTGAATAAATCCATAATTACAAGAATCAATTGAAGGAATAAACCTGAACCTATACATTTTGGATTTTATCCTTCAAAATATTCTAAAATCAACAACATTATTCCCATGATCACGATCCTTACAAGCAACAAAAAACCTTTTCTTCCTCACAACAACACTTCCCAGCAACTGGATGCAATCTAGAGGCAAAACCCCTTCTTTCCTCAAAACAATGTCCACTCGCACTTGAGAATCAAATTCAATGAAAATCTGATACAGCTCCAAGTTGTATCTCAAACACACACACAGACACACAGAAGGATTACCTCCCTGTTTGTGAGAGAGAGGAGAGGAGATGACTGTTCTCCGTTGGTGATGGTGGGAGAGACAATAGAGAAAGTGAGGCAACGATAGAGAGAATTAGAAAGAGTGAAGCAGCGATGGAGAAGGGAGAGAAATGAAGTGAGTTTAAAATAGTTTTACGAAAAAAGACTATTTTTGTTCCTAAGTAAGTTCAAATACCGAATCTCATTAACTCTTTTAGCACGTGTTTTTGTTTTACCATGTTTCCAAAAATATCTTTTTTTTCATTATTTTAGAATTAACTTATTTTATATAAAATACAAACCCAAACATATTTTTGTTTTTGTTTTACTCAAAAAATGAAAACAAAAACACAAAATACGAAACAAAAACATGAAACAAACACCCCTTTATTTTTTGCTTACAATACTCATTAAATATATATTTTTTCTTTAAAGTTATACATGATATGACACAATTGAGAACTATTTAATAAGAATTAATTGATATAATTCTTTTTAGATCATAAATACGAAATATTTAAACTTTAAAGGTGTAATTTATAACTAGTCTAANGATTACCTCCCTGTTTGTGAGAGAGAGGAGAGGAGATGACTGTTCTCCGTTGGTGATGGTGGGAGAGACAATAGAGAAAGTGAGGCAACGAGAGAGAGAATTAGAAAGAGTGAAGCAGCGATGGAGAAGGGAGAGAAATGAAGTGAGTTTAAAATAGTTTTACGAAAAAAGACTAGTTTTGTTCCTAAGTAAGTTCAAATACCGAATCTCATTAACTCTTTTAGCACGTGTTTTTGTTTTACCATGTTTACAAAAATATCTTTTTTTTCATTATTTTAGAATTAACTTATTTTATATAAAATACAAACACAAACACAAACCCAAACATATTTTTGTTTTTGTTTTACTCAAAAAATGAAAACAAAAACACAAAACACGAAACTAAAACATGAAACAAACACTCCCTTATTTTTTGCCTACAATACTCATTTAAATATATATTTTTTCTTTAAAGTTATACATGATATGACACAATTGAGAATTATTTAATAAGAATTAATTGATATAATTCTTTTTAGATCATAAATACTAAATATTTAAACTTTAAAGGTGTAATTTATAACTAGTCTAAACTATTTTAATTAATTCCAAATGCACATTGATATGAATTTATATCTTTTAGGGTTCAAAGTAATAATTTTAAATTTTGAGGGTGTAAATTGAAATTTGAGTGATCTTTCGGAATGGAAGTTGAGATTAACCCTAAAAATAATAATATTATTTATATATTTTTTTTAAAAAAATAACTAATGCATTGTTGTTTATTAAATAATAAAATTAGGATGATCCAAAATGAGAGGCATCGAGAAATGATTGAATTGAAAAGGCACACCCACCATTGTATATGTATCAATAATATTAAGGTGATTAAATTTTGGGATTAAATTTAGAGTTCAAATGACTTGTCAGTTGATTATTTGAAGTTTTTATTAGAGCGCAAATGACGTGACTCTAATAAAAAAATTTTAAATCAATTGTTATATCATTTACCCCTAAATTTAATCTCAAAATTTAATAAGCGTAACTTTACTCGTATATGTATTAGGCATCTCAAAACACAGAAGGATTATTCATTCATTAAAACTGGTTCCCTCTTACATAGAAGATATATATTTATTTAATAGAAGGCCATCAGGGCCTGTTATTTATAAGGCTCAAAACAACAAAAAGAAATAACTTGGCGCTTTTTATGCCGAAGCAATCTTCTCAGACCTTTGTCTTGACTCAAACAAGATGGTCTCCCGCCTGTTGTACTTCACCCTCCTTGCCTCTTCTCTAGGAATTTGGTATGCATTGGCAACCACGTCGACCGGCAATCCCCGCATCACCGATGTCCGGCCGCTGAGAGTATTGATCATGGCATTGTCATTAGTCTTGAAGGCCACCCACTCAAGCCCTTGGTTTCCAGCTTCTTTCACTATTACGAAGTTCTGTGGTACTACCACAATCTGTCCCTCTCGGAGCTCCTCATTAAACACTGTTTGCCCTCTGTGGTCAACAATTTGAGCCCTACCATCACCCCTTGTCACGTACATCACACTATGTGCGTTCAAGTTCGAGTGGGGTGCCATGATAGCGTTCTGCACACACGTATCACATTCCAGTCATATCATTTTCAATTCATAGCTCAATATTCATGGTAAATAGGAATGGCTCGTATTTTTTTTGAATTCGTATTAAAATGAACACCTAAAATTGCAAAGAGATTGGATTTCGGAATGGGCTAATATCCTTACCTTGTAGAGAACTCCCCTCCCAGCACTAAGTTGGAGGAATTTGAGAACGGGCATTGTGAGGCTGTTGAGGGTGCTAAGGCGACCTGCTCGTGGATTGTATATATCGGCACGAGAGGGATTTTCTAGGTTCTCTTGGAGCCTTGTGCTGCAGATAGTCTCGTCCAAGCCATTTCCACGCTCTCCCCGTTCTTGTTCTTCCCTGCTCAATGGTGGCTGGACTACTGAAAGCCCTCGCTCAGCTCTTACAATGTGGCCTCTCTGGTCGTCTTCACCTCGAAGCTTTTGTGCTGTCTCTGTGTCCACTCTAAATGCCTCCGCCAATGTCTGAACATCAATGCCGCGGAAAATGTTGCCAAAACCCCCTTCTTGGCCACTGGGACGACCGTGTTGTTGTTGTTGTTGTTTTTGTTCTCGATCTGGGTTTCCGGCAATAAAGAATCTCTGCAGCATCAAAAAAACTTGGTGCATGTCAAACCAAGTACTAACAACACTAAAACCACCACCAAGGATCTAAAGTGTATTTAGACTATCAAGCAACAATTTAGTTTAGGTAAAATCAGATAATAATGAGTAGTTTTACAATAGGATCACGATCAAGCTGGTTGGCATTGTTGCCGGTGTCAAGCAAAACAACGGCAATAAGATCTCTTTCACCGTCATTGTACACCCAATGTGCTGCCCCAGCTGGGTATGCCACAAAGTCACCCTGTCGAAGGTGTCTGATTCTCTGATGGCGATCCTGGAAACTCTGGCCTTCTCGTTCTGCTCGTTCTTGCTGAGATTGCTGGGATGATTGGAAGGTTTCGGGACAACCAGGCAGAATAACCCCATGAATACCCCGACCTGTACAATACAAGTCATATGAACATCACAGTTTCAATGACACTACATTGTTATATTAGTTCAACCCATCAAAAAGCAGAATTGCCTGAAATCACACCTTCGACAATGTAGACAAGTAGGGGTGAGTTGGTGTAAGAGGGCAAAAGAAGGCCTCTGGGTTGGATAGTATGGCGAATAACCGACACCCCAGCACACTGGAGTTGCTCATTCCTCGAGTCCCACAACTCGGTTACGCCGGCTTCTGCTTGGACATATTCTCTGGGTTCGAGGGCGGTGAGTCTCTGGATTTGGCACTCACTTTGCTGCTGCTGTCCTCGTTGCCGAGCAATGCAGCCATGGAAGAGCAGAAGAAAACTCAGAAACAGAGAGAACAAGGAAGCTGGCTTAGCCATTGTAATAACACCTGATAGAGTGAAGAGGAAGACTGGTTGTGGAATGTGGTGAAGTGGTGAGTGGGAAGTGTGGGCATTTATAGATAGGATGGGTGGGTCAGGGCTTGACACATATCAGAGAATTGGTGAAGAATGTGCCTGCCATCTTGCACTTTGCATGGCTACTAGACGCTAACATCTTACACCTAATAGTTACTGGTAAGATAGGTGGCCTCATCTTTCTGAGAAGAAAACAAAGAGGTCTGTTGGTTTCTGAGATCCTCTGAGGTGGTTTTTGAGTGGGTTTTAGGTGCATCACTACAGATCAACTGGGTCTTTATTAAATGTATTTGTTGAAGTGTATTATATATCATAGTTCATGAGTTACGAAAACAGTTTCTAAATTTGTAAGGTAAGAATATGTACACTTAATCCTTCTTAAACCTTGTAATAATTTGAGTCTCGTGTACAAGATACGTCGCTCATAGACATTCAGTATATTACTTAAAGTTAGAGCAAGGGTGATATTAATATTATGGTTTAATATAGTGCGACTGAACCACAATATTATCTCTTTTTTTTAATACAATATCAAAAAATAATCTTTTGATTTCATAGTCTTCCAACAATTATAAGTTACCATATACATAAGCGTGACACATAAAGGTGGCACTGTGGCAAGTAGTTTTTCATTAGAACTTTGGTATTTTTGATGGAATTGGAACACTAAATATGATTCAGATGCTTAAATTGAAAAATTCAAGGCTTATACTCGTGATGCTCCGAATCTTTAATTTATCTTGATCTTTTCACAACTCAAATTGAATCTAAATTCCTAAAGGTTGATCGAAGGATTGAAATCCACTCTTGAAATTTTGGTTTCCCACTTAAAAATATTACCATAATTGTAACCAACGATACCGTTCATTAACCCCCAATTACTGCCCCATTCAATCCCCCCCCCCCTCTTAATTGAATCGCCACACACAAAAAAACCATAACCCTAACCCGCCTCCCCCTCTTTCTTACTCTCACTCTAGCCAATGTCGACATTGACGCCGATGCTGGTCATCGCCAATGGCAGTGCTTAACCTCGCAATCTCCCTCTGCCTTAGTCATGGTATTCCCCCCCTCTCTCTCCAGCCAATGCAGCGCCTGCATGTGTTCTGTGTGCTTTGTGTGTTATGTGTGTATATGTGAGTGTGTTTCTGTGTACGTTGTTTGTGTGTATTCTCTCTCCCTTACTGCGTTTTTATGTGTGTGTGTTATGTCTTCTGTTTTTGTGGTATGTGTTCTGTTTTTCGTTTGTGTGGTGTACGAGTTATGTGTGTATGTGCATGTGTGTTCTCTCTCCTCTTACTATGCCTTTTTCCAAGTTATGTGTGTATTATTTGTTCTCAAGGCCGGCCCAACAGCGGAGGAAAATAAGTGGTGGCTTTAGGCCTGTTAATAAAGAGGGCCTCAAAATTTAAAAAGTCTATAAATATAGTCCAAATCAATATTAACCCATTAAAATTAGCCTTATAAGAAAGCCCCATATGAAGGCCTAAACTAACAAAAAACTCTAATTTGATTTTGGGCTTAAAAATTCAATTCATTAATCTCAAGAACATTTTACAAGAAATATATATATATATATATATATATATATATATATATTTTGTACCTAATTTAGTTATCTTATCTTGTGACGTGATGGATCATAACTGTGGAGTTGATAGTGGGTCTCAACTAATAGTAGGATCCAATGTCAATCTAATAACAAAAAATGATAAGGTTGTCAAATAAGTTCCATGTAATATTGCCCTTTTTATCATAATCTTGAAAAACTTAATCAAACATATATTTCGTGACTAATGTCTAATTCTTAGAAAAATAATTTTATAAGAGTGTTAATGACGAGACAACATAATCTGTCAAATAATCTTTGAATTTAAAAATTTTTGAATTTTTTATTTAATTTAAAAATTAAGTCAATTAGTTATACTATTAATAAAAAGATATGTTAGAAAAACTTCAATACGAATATTAAACAATTAATATGCAACCAAAAAAAAATTAAATATTAAAAAATTTACACTATTATTAAAATTTTATTTTTAAAAAGTCTCAATTGAATTTATCGTTTTAGGCCTCAAAATATATCAAGCCACCCTTGTTGTTCTATTTGTGTGGTATGTGCATTGTGTGTGTGTGTGTATGTGTTATCTCCCTCTTTCTCTTTTCTTCTTATGCCTTTTTTTTGAGGGTTTCTGTTTGCGTTGCGTGTATCCGTTTACATGTGTGTATGCACGTGTGTGGTTTTGTCTATGTGTGTTAGTGGTGCGTGTGTGTGTACACTCTGTGTGTGTTTGAGATATTCAATTGCTATAATATGTGGGTAATTATGTGTGTGTATAATAAGTAATCCCAATATGTTACATCATTGGGACATAAACTATTCCGCAAACACAACACATACTGTGAAACTTGTGAAAATTAAAAATCTTAATTAAAAGGATAAAACGGTAATTAGCCGTTAAAGCACTTGTAAAAAACGCAAAATTTTATATGAATTGGATGAAAAAATGGACCTTACAATTGGATTTGTCTTGTGAAACCTAATTACGTAGTTAAGTTTCATTGAATTTCGAAGCAGTCAAAACTTAATTGACTTATTAGCTTGAAATATGAGTATGAAATTGTATGTATGTTAAATGACCATTTAACATATAATTATTGTAGTGGAAGTGTGTTTATGTTTATAAAATTAATAAACATGTTACCATGTTGGAAGGAACAAGCATGCTAGTTGTGTAAATTGATGTACTCTCTAGGTGTTTGTTTAAATGCCTAAGTGAATACAAATATATTAGTTGAGTTGATTATCTTATATAACTTGCTTGTGAAAATGTTGAAAATGTCATTATATTGCACTTATCATATATTTGACATTGTAAATGGTATTAAAGACAATTATTGTTGGAACCAAAATTCCAAGAATCATTGACTACGCATATGTATCAAAAACAAAAAATTTTCATTTAAAACCCTACAAGACAGAATTAGGATTTACATTCGAGATTACTCTAAATTGATCTTATCTCAGCGTGAAAGCAGAAAACAGAAAAACAGACGCAGAAGGTAGCTCGCTAAATCTCACGGTGCCCAAACGCCAAAAATTCAGATGCATTGTGGGCTGCAAGAACCTCTGAACTTCTGTTCTCTCTCTCAGCCTCTCTCAAAACGTGAGTAATGTATGGATGCTGATTTAGTGGGCCTAAACGTCTATGTATAGGCTACAACAGAAACTCTAAAGATAAATAAAGACTGGGCTTCCAATAGACCTAGAATTCCTATGTTTAACTCAGAACATACATCCTAAAGTCCATAAATAATAAGTTAGTTCACTAAAAACTTATTATTGATCTCATGAGCCTTATCTCAAAATTATATTTGAGTTCCTTATTATTGTATACTTAATAATCTTCTCATGTTTAAAATTACAGATGTCCATCAATTAAATAAATTATTGATAATTATATTTAATTAACTTATTTTATTCCTTGAAACATTATCACTCAATTTATTTGTCATGTCGAATAATTAAATTCACCTGCAAGGTTTGACAAGGACAAAACTTATGAGCTTCTTTAAGAGGACATCATCAACCCATTTAAATATCAGGATGTGGTTTCCTTTATTAATTATTTTCCACCATACAAATAATATCATCTCTTAATTCACCGAATGTATTAACTCAATATGAATCTCAATCTTTGATGAATTAAAGTGACAAATATTATACGCACGTGACAATTAAATATTTCTAGATTAAGAGCATAAGTAATCATAATAATCATGAAATATTTATTATTTTATTGAATCACTAAAAGATAATAATCTCAACATGAGTCTGTTCAATACACAAAGTATACTAGTGCAATAATCTGAGACATCAAACAGTCTCATACAGTTCAGACAGACTATGTCAGAAAATTACACTACAATCATACTGATGGTGTGTCCAATTCCATCTAGAATTGTGAACATATACTCATATTATACAAGAATATGATAATTTGACCTTTTTGTGCATAAGCTAAACTCTACACATCAGATTATCTACAATGTAAAATATAAAACACACATGTATACCATATATCAAATATAATTCAAACATTTTGCTTACATAGATTCTCAATAAAATGGAAAGAATAAACTTTTATTAATTAATAAAACGAGTTTCACTACAAAAAATAAGTTTTTAGTATATAATTCTGTCAATTACACATTGCATTGTTATGTACGGGTTGCATTACATTTGTGGGTATTGACATGAGTGTGAGTGTGTGTGCATGAGTTTGGGTTAATCATCACTTAGGTGAGTTGATGGGTGAGTTCGGAAAGGTTGGAATTAGGTTCGACTAAGTCACACTAGATTTTGCATAAATAAATGTATCAGGGTGTAGCAAGAAGTGATAGAATATTCTCCCTTAATTGCAAGACCTGCAAACCTTTGGATACACACATTCCAATGGTGTAATGAGCCCGTAAAATTGTGAGATGGCGAGGACAGAGCCATAGGTGAAGTGTCTTGAAAATTTGTCTAATGTGTGGTTTCCCTTTGGTGAAATATCATAAATCATCACTCCAAAAAGACACAAAAATGAATTAAATAGTCATCGGGTGTACATAACATCAATGACGAGGGTTTGAAATACTCGAATTTATACGCATGGTATTACATGGGTGTGGGAGCCCGGGATGGGACTCAGTGTTATCATTTCATGCGTGAGTTTCATTTCATAACATGACATGATTTATGACATTTGTTTAGGATAAATATAGTTGAATGGATGCATGACATAATGTTGTATGTGACATTTCATATGCATTTTGGGTTGAGAGGTATTCTCTATAGGAGTTATCCTATTAAGCATTAGTTCACCCTTTATGGGAATAATTTTCAGGTTTCACACGTGTTTTCACCAAAGGCCCTCCAATGGGCTCGCTTTGAAAAAAAAGCCGGGTTGTGGCTC